GCGGGGCTCGGCTTTCCCTCCTTCCCGCACGGCTGCTTTGGGAGAAGTGCGTGTGGGGGTCCTGGGAACGCCAGGAAGCCTTTCCGGAGATGCGGGGGTTGTAGCTCCTCCGGGGCTGGGGAAGGAGCGGCCGCGGGGCCGTCGTGGGCCGGCTGTAAATAAAGATGTCTCGGCTCGAGGAATGCACTTCAGGTTTCCCAGGCGTGCGGGTTCCTTGACTCGTGTCTCCGCCTTTGGAAAGGCGTTTTAGGGCTCGGTGGGAAGCTGAGGCTGGGGTTTCTGCACGGCTGCTCAGCGTCTGGGAGCCCTGCGAGCCCTTTGGTACAGGAGCCGAGTGCAGGTCGATTCAGGCCTTCTGTAGCAAAATCTCTAGCATCATTTTTTTTCCCGTGGAACCAAGAAGATAGCCTGGTATTTGGCCAGCTTCTGAAAACCTTTCTTCTCTGGCTTCATTTTCTTAAGCTGTAAAATAACAAGCCATATGATGGCTTCTTAAAACACTTCTTGTCTTGTCTAGTTTCCCCGCAGCAGCGTCTTCAGTAGCAACTGGAGGAGACACCAGCTGCTGATTTCTTTATTCCATATGTTCTTGTCCTCTCTGGATGAGATCATGGTTAATCTCTTAAGGGGTATGGTTGAAATACTTGCACACAGTGTCTTGAGAAGTGATGTGCTGCCGGTGTTGGTGCTGCCTGACTGCTTTAAGTGATGGTACAGCTTCATAATTTGGAAGGCACTGGGAGACCATCTTTTGTGTAATGTTTACTTAAAGGTAATGTGCTTCCTTGCTTGCCTGGGGGCTTGAGGGGGGGGGAAGCAAAAAGTTAAGCTGGAAAATGAATGCAGAATTTCTGAGGAAAAAGTTACAGGCGTACCCAAAACTAAATTGGGTACCAAATGAACATAGTCTGAAGATCGGGGTTTCATGTTGAAACTTTCTTCTTTCTCTCTCCCCCTTCCCCAGGAGTCCAAAATCAGGAATGGTTCAGGTGTGCAGTCAGTACAAAAAAAAACCAACAAAACTTGTTTCAGCAGTTAATGCGAATATGTGCTTGGCAGAGACTTGGAAGACAGTTTAGTCTTATATTTGCCTGCCCTATTGGCCATCTGCTTCTGCTTTCCTGTCAGAATGTGAAGTAGCTGTAACTAGGTTTCAGTTAAGTTCATCTTTGTGGATTGAACTGGGGCCACTTGCTGTCTGAAGAGAGTCAGCTTAGTCTTGTGTCAGTCGCTTTTGCAGCTCAAAAACGCACCAAGCCTTTGCAAAAAGTCACTGAATGTGCTTTCTGCTAGGCAGCAGCATTCAGATTAGACTTTTTTTTTTCCTAGGCTTTTCCCTACTAATGCTTCATTTCAAACATCAGGTGCTCAGAAGGTCTTGAAATGTGTTTTTATCCAGTTTTTGAGATTAAATTGCTGAAGCGAGAGTGACTCTTTCATGTGTACCAATTTCATCTAGTTGAAGTGGGTGCTCTCCTTTGAGAACACAGTGTAATTTCTCCAATAAAAAACCCACCCCAAATCACACCACATTTAGTGAAGTGTTTGCTTTAGTACTTCAAAGCAGATTAGTGCCTATTTCTTAGGAGAAAATGTTGGCATTTATATTAATCTTGTTGAGTTTCCCGTAGAGCCACTCATGTGTTTTGCAGCTTCTGGTAATTGTGTTTATGCAAGATCAAAGGGTGGGCTCTCCTGGTTTCTTGTGTTCGGTGCTGGTCAAGAGTTGGTGCCTAGGGAATGCTGTTGGAAGGTGAGGGCAACATGGAATGCTCATACTAGGTTAAAAGTGTGGTTTAAAAGGATTTTTTTTTTTTCTTTTGGAGTGAAATCAGTGATTGGAAACTTTGCAGTGACTGAAATCCAAGTCCTGCTTGTAACAGTACAGTTTTAAATATCTGTTAGTATTTAAGTGTAGTAGCAATAATGGAAATCATGCTGTGTACTTGTTGATAAACATTATATTTCCTAAGAGCTGTCACTGCTTGTTACTGGTCTGATTTCAGTTATTTTCTACATGAACAACTGCCTTTTGTCATGGCTGTTTCTTGAGTCTCTAATACATAATGGCTTTGTAACTTCATGGCAACAAAAGTGTTTTTCCCCCAATGCACAGTGTACAACTGCAAGGAAATACCACACTTAAAGTTGAGTGTCCACTGGGTAGTAACTTACCTTATTCTTGTTATTCCAGAGTTTTCTTGGAGGCCTTTTTGTTCCTGCTTATGAGATTGATGTTGTTCTTAATGATGCTGAAACACGAAAAACAGCAGAAATCAAAACAGAAGATGGTAAAGTAGAAAAGCATTTTCTCTTCTATGATGGAGAATCTGTTTCAGGCAAGGTAAATTATCTTTTTAAAGTGACTTAATTACTGATGCTGGCATGCAGATGCAGCTCTTGCTTTTATCAGCTTGTTATTTAACTTCCTATATGCAATTTCAGCTTGTGGTGTTGTTCAAAGATGAAAGTGTTTTCCCAGATGTGGTCTTTTTATCATTGTCAATCAGGCAACTGATAAAACGGAACATTTTGAACAGTAGCTGTTCATTTGTGTCTGGTTATCTTGTATTTATGAATTAGCTTGTTGTGCAATTGTGTGCAGTCCTGTCCTTGCTTCTGAGAAGAAAGCTATTCCAGACTGGATCCCCTTGCTTCCCCTTCATCTCCAAAGTCCACGACCTGACAGGTGTAACAGTAATTTTTGGCTGGTGCAGCCAACTTGCTTTGCATACCTTGAAGCCAAGCCTTGTGTTTCATGCCCTGAAGTGGTTTCTGGAATTGCATCAGAGGAGCAGTGAATGAAGTTCAGCTGGCTGTGGAGTCAACAAGAGGGTTTTTTTGAGAAATAATGAAGTTGAGATTGCCAGAGGGATTCCTCTACTTCCAGTATTGCACCTAGGAACTCCTTGCCATTGTTCTGCTTTTACTGGAGCCATTCTCAGTCTCTGAATGCTTCTGTTGAAGTTTGCTCTCTCTCCCAAGAAATGTGAGTCAGGTATTGGTTCTGTGATTGACTTCTAAATACCCACTTCCATCTTGACCAGCCTGTCATCACTGAGTATCTTCCTGCCTTTAGGGTATCTTCCCATGCTAAGACCTTAGTTCTCTAGAAAGATCCTTTCATGGATATGAAACTGACAAGATGGGCCTCAGACTCAGGAAACTGAGGGAATTAGCATTTGTGTGTTCATTGGCCTGAGTGCTGAAGAGGTGCCTGGAGAATTTTGGCTAACACAAGCACTCTGGGATGAGGAGATTTGGAGGACCAGTAATTTACTGGACAGCTTCCCCCTGCCTCTCTCTTCTTTCTTTTCACCACAAAGGTCATTTATTCCGGTGGTTTACTTCCTACTCAGTTACTAAGGATGCACTGGATTTTAAGGTACAGGAATTTCTCTGGTCATTGTTACCTCAGAAGGAAATATTAAGTATGCTTGATATTTACATGTTTCCATAGGAAGTAGCCTTATGGCATCTTTTCTTGTGAGGTGAGGTCTGACAGAGAGGACCAAATTTACGGAGGCTGATCTTGATAGTAGGTTTCATTATCTGTTATTTTTAATTGACTTATTTAACACCAGTTCTTGGCTATCTGCTGTGGAAAGGACTTCAGTTCAGTCAACTTGAAAGGAATGCATCTCGTGGCAGTTCCTTTTTCCAAATGTGGCTGCCAGAAGATGCTTTGAAGTTCTCTGCCTTCAGAGGTGGCAAGGAGGTCACAACTGGCTTATGTGAATTCTGCTGAAGCTCTAGCATGGGTTCTTTACTTTGGGACTCCCAAGTTTTCAAGCTTACTTATTAAATCCAGTCTTGTGGATGATTAGATTTTTCTTAAATGCCTTAGTAGCACCTGGGTGATACTTAATTTCATCATCAGCTGTTGGATTTGGTTGCCCTCAGGCTTTTCATAGGCATGTAGTAATGTGCTTTCCTTTTTCCTAAGATCATGTATTACAGTGAAAGTGTTGACATGTTTTAACTTTATTTTGCCTTGGTAGGTGAACGTCTCCTTTAAGCAG